TAAATAAACAAACCTAATTACCTCCATTCAATTAAAAAAAATAAAATAAAACCAAGGTGGGAAAATGCCTGAGTTACACTGTCAAAGGCCAGAGTTGGAGGTAAGAGAGGGAAGGAGAGACTCAGACCAATTCTTAAGACAGTTTTTTACATTGGTAAATTAACGTATGTTTATTCACATTAAGTGGCGAAAATGAAGTATTATTGTAAATGCGCTGTATTTTTCAAATACCATTTTATTTTTCAACTTTTTATTACAGAAAATGGCAAACATGTAAAAACAGAGAGAAGGGTGGATTAAAACCTTGTGCATTCACTGCCCACCTTCAACCATCACTGACACAAGGCCCACCCTGTTTTCATCTCCTACTTGCTGGATTATTTTGAAGCCATCATTTCACCTGTAATTCCCTCATCTTATAGTCAAGACTGCTTTTTTGATCTCACCTTTCTCTTCACTCACTCCCACCCACTCTGGGCAGTGATCTGAGGACAATAGGTTACCGAGAGAAAAAAACATTCTCCATAGAAAATACCAAACTGGCCAGAAGAGAGTGAAAGTCCTCTGAATCAGAGAAAGATGAGGAGGTGGAGCAAAGCTTCACTCCAGGACTGGGAGGTGCAGAAAGACCCCCACCCCCCTCCCAGGTGGGGCAGCTGGGGCTTCTGAGAGGTGAAGAGGGGGCTCAAAACAGGGAAAGGTCACAAACCTAGGAGCCAGCGCAGGGTGTGGAGCAGCTTCTGGATTAGAACCATTGAAGATCTGCTGACTTTCATTCCGGCTTCTGGACTGAAGGGCACACGCTACTCAATGTGGAGAGCTTTGGAGGGAGAGGAAGTAGGTGTTCATCGCCCAAGGAGAGGGAAGATGTGTTCCCAGAACCACCCCCGTGTGCTGCTTGCTAAGGACACCCAGTACTGTCACCTGACTGACTGAACCAAACTTTACTGAAACCCTGTCTATCCCCAAACCCCTCTTTACACCAATCTGTAGTCTCATCCACCCCGACTCCTTCTCCTCTGATCTCATAGGAGGACGTTTCCTTGTTCCCGGCCAGCATGTCTCCTCTCACCCTTCCCCCTTCTGCCCCTTCCCCTCGGGGTTTTGCTCCAGAGTCATCCTTCCTCGGAACCACAACATGGCCCAGGGCGCTCCATCCATCCACACACACTCCAGCCACTCACCTCCCTCTCCTGCCGCATCAGCTGCCCTCCTCTCTCGGATTCTCCCCCAGATCTACTTCTTCAAAGCCTCATCTTCAGGAAACTGTCTCACATTTGCTGCCTCCCTGCTGAGTCGGGGCTCCGGCTACACCTGTGTGCACTCACCGTGCAGTGAGTCTGCATCATTCTCTCCCCCCTGGGCTGAGGCCCTGAGGGATGAGACTGAGTCTTATTTCTCCTGCATCCCTGGCTCTCAGTGTGCTTACTCAGAAGATGCTCAGAAATGTTTGTGGGAAAACAGTGGAGACAGAAAGATGAACAAAACCATCCCTGCTCTCAGGGAAGCTCAGTCTTTACAGAGGCGGTCCTCCAAGAGCGAGGGCATCAGAGTGCTTGCCTACATCCTGGTCTTTGGGGGTTTTGCTCCAGCAGTTGGAACTTTCGTGGAAACACTCCACATCCTCTAGCACGATGGCAAGGCCCTTCTGAGCCTCACTGCCTCACCAACTCAAACTTCTGGCACTTCCTCACCAAGAAGAGTGCCATCTCGCATGACAGCATGAACTTTCCCAAGCCCTCATTGAGTTCTCTTCCAGTTTTTTCCCTTGCCCGGGATTTCAACTCTTAATCCACTGGCCACCACTTGCTGACCCTTTAAGACTCAGTTTCAGTGTCACCACCTGTGGAAAGCATGCCCTAGCCCCCAACCCTGGTGTCTTCTCCACTGCACTAGAAGATTCCTGGGAGCAAGGCCTTTTCCTTCATCCATATGTCCCCAGCAATGAGCACAATGTCTGGCACATATACACGCTTCAATACACGTTTGATGAATGACTGAATGAGGGAACACAGGAGCTGATTCCTTTACTTTCTGTCTCTGTAGAAACACAAACTGACTCTTTACACCAACGTCTGTGATCTGAGGAAGACTAGCACTGCAGTTTGAATTTTTAAGACCATAAGAATTAAAATTTCAGGAAACCACCCCACCGTGCTTTGCTGAGACTAGATTAAGTACATTTCTAGCACAAGGTGACCGGTCTTTCTCCCTCTTCTGGGTATAACTTCTGAGAATCGGTGGCTACTTTGGCAGTGGACATACCTATGCACCCAGTCATCAATTAACACAAGCCAGAAAACTCAGTGGACTGACTGGTGCGGCACTGAGCCATTGCTCCCACGTCACACTGTACAAAAAATGTAAAACTGAGCCTACATGTGTCCCTTGCTATTCCCAGTCAGGCTCTAACCCATGGAGTTAGTTACAGTAACATTATCCAAAAAATAAAGTTTAACCTAAGAAAGCTATTTTTAAACCACAGTCTCATAGGGCTGAAAATGATCCCACCCCAAAAAAGTAAGCATTTTTAAAAAAACCTCTTGGCCACCTACTTCATCCTTGCACTCAATCAAAACCATGCTCCTAACATGGAAAGATGCTCTATATTGATAATTTTTAGAGAAGTGCAAACCAAAACTATAATGAGGTTATCACCTCATACCAGTCAAAATGGCTATCATCAAAAAGTCTACAAATAATAAATGCTGGAGGAAGTGTGGAGAAAAGGTAACCCTCCTACACTGCTGGTAAGAATGTAAATTGGTGAAGCCACTATAGAGAACAGTATTGAGGTTCCTTAAAAAACTAAAAATAGAACTACCATATGATCCAGCAATCCCATTTGTGGGCATGTATCTGGAGAAAACTCTAATCAAAAAAATACATGCACCCAATGTTCACAGCAGCACTATTTACAATCACCAAGACATGGAGCAACCTAAATGTCCACTGACAGATGACTGGATAAAAAACATGTGGTATATATACACAATGGAATATTACTCAGCC